AAATGAACCTGTGCTTTAGTTCTATTACATGTTGCTTGCTTTTTTAGTGAATCTTCCCTCATTCTATTTTATTAATATGTTTGCCTCAATTTATTTCCTTTCCCCAACTTTCCCAGAAGATTTATTTTTCCCTTCACTTTCATTAACAAAGATTTTGCAAGGAAGACTTCTATAATTCTTCATTTTCACAAAAGCATTTTAAGATATTTAAGACATTTAAAAGCATGCAATAGCTCTCCGCATGTGCTAAAATTATTTACCAAACATTTGAGGGGTAAAATAATCATCATAATAATAATAATCCCCCTTAGGCTGAATGATTATGTTATTGTCATGGTACATTTAATTGTGCAGAATTTTAAATGTTGGTGCAAAACTTGGTGATAGGTTTTCAACATGTGTGTTTTTTAGCATTGAGGTTGTCAAATCATGTAGTTAAGCATTGGAAATACATGGTGGATCCATTAGTTAGTTCAATAGTTGACATTCCCCTCCAATAGTGTAGGTTAAGCACAGGTGACTTACAATCCTTTCACACTAGAGAGGACACTACAGAAAACTTGGTGGGGCTACAATGCAGAGCAACTCGTTTTCATGGTTGTAACATGAACCTTGATACATTTTACTTTTTGGAAGAGATTTTGAGGAATACCGTATAGTTAAATGTGACGAAGAACGGCACGGAATGTGAAATGAGTTAGAGGAAAATGTTTCTGGTGAACTTTCTTGTTGTCAGTTGGCAGATTTAAGGTGAAATGGGTAAAGTGTTGGTGCAGGAGGAGGAGTAGCAGGAGGAAGAGGCAGAGGATCTGCCAACTGGCAACGGCAGCTCAAAGACAGGTGGCAGATGGCAGGGTGGCAAGGCAGCTGCACACAGACCATGCCAGTTATCTCCACATGACAAAGCAGCAATGTGTCAGGCATTTAATATTGTCCAAGGAAGCAATTACAGAGTTATGCAACTTTTGTCAGGCCCTAAACAAAACTAAGTAACCAGCACCAGCTGCTTAATCCAGGTCCTCATGTGAGGGGCCTTGGCAAACAGAAGTGCCCACTGTGAAGCCAATTCCACCTCCAGGTTGCTCAGCAATAGGTCAGCGTAATTTGGAGCCCTCTCTCCCTGCAGCTGCTTCCCATGTTTGCCACAAATCCATCTCACTGCTTTATCCTGTACTTTGCAAATGGGTCAGAGGAAGCCTCTCCCTGGGATGAGCACGAGCAGAGTGCCCTTTTCCTCTCCTCAGTGTGGTCCTTCAGGACAGTGTCCAAGCAAAAGTTGGTGTCCAAGCAACACTCAGGCTCTGATAAGAATCAACAATTGGGACTGGATCTTCCAATCAATACCCTCAATGTCTTCTCTTGAACCATGCAGAATCATGATTCCACACTTGGGGGCACCAGCACCATGCCTCACCAGCACCATGGCCCCGTGTTAAAGATGGCATGTGCAGAGCAATAGGTTCCTTGTTGAGTCCGCCAGCAGCATAATATTGTCCGCAAACAGAAGTGCCACAATCCTATCAGAAACTTTACAATACACATACTTCACAGTAGATCTTCTGAAGTGCTTCGAGACATCCCTCCGTCATGAAAGACACTATATTAAATATAAAGATTATTATTATTATTAATCAACAAGCGAAAGGTTTCCTTCTTATTCCAACCTGCTCCTAATCCCCCGTCCAGCCCATCCCATTATCGGCGGTCAGGCATTCAGCCTCTCTGTCCCCACCATTTGGAACTTCATCCCACATTCCCTTCGCCACGCTCCCTCCTTTGCCTCCAAGGCACTTCTCAAGACTCTCTTCGACCATGCCTTCAGTCACTCTCCTATCCCTACCCTCCCTGCCCTCCACCTCTGCTGATCCCAACCACCAACTTGGGTGCGGATCCCTAACTGTCCAGCGCCTTGGGTCATCCTCTCGATATGAAAAGCGTTATACAAATGTAATTTGTTGTTTTTGTTGTTTGCCACCGTAGAGTACAATCTGGCAGTGTCAATTCTATTACAATCGATTCCTCTATTCACAGGATTTAATATCCTTGTAGATTATTACCATCCACTTTTGATATTGTTATTACCGTGCAACTGGATCCACTAGAGCTGGATGAAAGTATTTCACCTGTGAAGGCATGAAGAAGATTTTGCACCATTAAATATGTTGAACGAAGCATGCAATGAAATTGCAGAAATCTATTGCAGAATAGGTGCAATAAAAAANTATGAAAACAAGATTCTTCATGTAATTCACAGAATGAATTTGGCAAATGGCTTTCAGAAGACATTATTATCAATGTTTTACACAACTTCTACAACTAGTATTCTGTTGGGAAAATTGTATAAAGCAAAATTGTATTTCACATCAAATACAAAATACAGTTATTATACCTTACAGTATATCCTATAAAATGCTTTGAGACGTCCTCTCGACGCGGAAGGCACTATAACAAATGTAAGGATTATTATTATAAAACTAAAATATTTATTCTCTGAAGAGATGGTGTCTCCTTTTTTTCAGTACCTTGAGTTATATTTTCTAGGGACGTCCTCCCGACGTGAAAGGCGCTATACAAATGTAATCTTGTGGTTGTTGTAGTTATCTGCATGACACAGCAATATGTTATCCGCTAAAAAAAAGGGGAGGAGGGGGTGGGGATGTCATGTGTCAGCTGATGATTGATGACATATTTAAAACACTGCAAGCCAAAGAGTATGGTTGTTTCCAGATGTACAAGTACAATGCTGCCAGATAGCCATTTATTCATTTGGTGAGTCCGTTAGTAAGCGTTTATTTCCCAAACCTTCATTTGTGGTTGGTAATATCTTTATATTTGATAAATTAATAAATTGTTTGATATATATATATTTGATAAATTGTTAGACATATATTAAAAGGGAAATTTCATTCTATTATATTATAAAAACAATGTTTGCTACAATTAGTGAATTAATTAGTGATGGATTTGTTTCTCCTTGAGTTGTTAAATTTAAGGTCAAGTACAGTAACATTTAATTAGATATATTGCAAGCTGCATGTTAAAAATGTGTTCCATTGGAATATTCACACTTCCATCTGGGTTGTGGTAGGTACCATATAACTCCTCAGTCTTGAAACATGTCTCAGAGCAAATCTTCTAGAGGTCTGCAAAATTTGAAATGGGATTGAAAAGTAAACCCAGAACAATACTTTAGGATGCACAAAGGAAATGGAACTAAAGGACACAGGTTTAGAGTGGCAAAGGGCAATTTCATGACAGACACTAGGAAATGTTTCTTTAGCCAGAGGATAATTAATGACTGGAACAAGTTACCAGGAAGGGTGGTTGAAGCCAAAACATTTTACCTATTTAAAAAAAAGCTTGATGCTGCAAAGGGAAGATGGTAGGGTGGTGTATTCTGGTTGGATGAGATCAAATGGATCGATGGACCTTCTTCATCAAAACCAATGTTTTTTTCACGGAAGCTTCCTGCTGCTTGTCTAGCTAGGACTTCCCTAACCATTGGGGCTTTGGCTTCTAGGATTAACAAGAGCTGAGTAAGAAGAATCACTTTTTCTCCAAGTCCTTCTGATGAGCCAGACTGGCTGGTCTATCATTAGCGGGGCCTGGAATAGTGCAGACCGGCCTGGCTCCTGCAAATTGCCACAGAGGATTGATTTGATTCTAACAACCTGTTGCCAAGTATGTCACCTTGTAGTCAAAGAGGCCCCATTTACCCCTCTCCCCCCAATCCCAAAGAGAGACCCCTTTCTGTTTTAGTCACCAGAAAGGCGAACATATCCTCTTGCCAAAAGAGAAGCTTCAGGAAACCCTCTGCTTGTTCCAAAATCAAGTAGAAAAATGCTTTTGCTGATACCGGTAGTGTCTGTAAAAAGATGGGAATAGTTATCATCTATTGTGAACTGCTTTCTCACAGGTGATTGCAGTAGTTTTGATCCTATAGTTCTGCTATGGAATCCTCTCTGGTAAAAAGTGTTATTGTGACAACAACTTGCATTTATATAGTGTCCATCATACAGGGTAGCGTCCCAGAGCGCTTGACAGTGCTGGAGCATGATGCTGAGCCAGGGGAAGGGTGACTGTAGACACGGTTGAAGAAGAAGGTCCATCAGGCACGACCTGAAGCTGGGGAAGGATGGGGCAAGGCTGAGGAATTTAGACACAGTGTTCTTGAGCTTCGGGATGTAGTGGCTGAAAGTGCAGCCACCAATGGTGGAACCCTCCGGAGGGCACAAGGGTCAAGCAGGAGGCCAGAGCCAATTGAACGAATAGTGGGTTGGGGAGTAAGCAGGTCAGAGAGGTAGGGAGGTGCCATGGACATAGTATGTAAAACAGTAGGCTTATTGATGTCTCCAATTTGTATTTACTTTTTGATATAAAAGTGCTTGTTGTTAAAAATCTTTAAGGCTTGTCCTATTACAATTGAGCAAGATTAACCTTGCACTATGTTTTCAGGATCACTATGGATCAATCAAGGAGCAAGAATCTGCAAGCATTTGGGCTCAAAATGAAAACACATTTTTTAAAATACAGAACTATCCATTTTCAGGTCAATGGGACCATATAATATATTTATACAATAATCTTCATTTTTAAATAGTACTGTACTGTAAAACCATTTAGAAGTCAGCTTAATACAAACAAAATACTTTAAACAAGAGTATGACTGACTTTAAGGCTTCAGTCACAATGTGCATGCATGTCTCAACCTTATTTACTATTACACAATGTCATTGCAAGTTATGGGACATTTGATTAATTAAGAGATATGCATAACCAGATGACATAGCACACTTCATCAAGAAAAATCACAAATTGTTGATGATCGTATGGAATACCTTAAAAATAATCTAATTTCAAATATAAGTTAAAATGCGTTAAACATTAGACAAGTTCATACATTAAATAATATTAAACTTAAGCAGAAAATGGTAGTTTGTAAGTAAATAATGCACTTTAATATTGTACCATTCCTTTTGAAGGAATAACAATGGAACATTTTCAAAATTAAGAATAACATAAATAAGAAATTCTGTGAAAACATATTTAATAGAGGAAAATGAAAACTGAGATGTCTTGTGTCTGAAAGTCATTTTAAAAATTGCCCAAGAGTAATGTTTTGCAAAAGAAACCTAAGCATTTCATAGATTTATTTTATTACAAAAATGCAAAGATCCCACATACAAATTGAGAGTGATGGAGCACATGTGATGCAGTGTTAGACATTAACCCTTTCTGCACGGCTAGTTTATGGTGCTTTTCGAATAGAAATTGTTCAATACCCTAAAATCTATGATAGCTGAAAACAGTTTAAGGCTTAGCATTTTATAGACAAAGTGGAGGAAGATCAAGGAACATAAAAATAATGCGCTTTTGTGAATAATGATCCTGATTTTCAAATATTTGCCTTTTCTGACAAATTGTCTTTTCATAATATTTCCAGCTCATGGCTTGCATATTATTTGCACATCATCAGAAGGCATGCCTGCCTAAGTGCTGAACTGCAACCAGTTTTCAGACAATTAACAATATGCAAATAGATGACTGTAGCAAAATAACAAGGAAGGTTAAATCCCAGCATACACATTGATTTTGGAAACACAGTACTTTTGACAGGACAGAAATAACATCTTAGCAGATATTTTAATTTGTGTTTGATTTTTGATCTCTGGCTGAGACCGAATTAAATGTCAAGATTAAATCCTGAAAATCTAGTAGTGATGTGGCCTATCCCTGAATACCACGTCTGAGGCTTCCGATTCACCAACTGTGTTACTCATTGAATGACTGCCTGTTGCACTACATCATAATTTTATGGTGGACAACAAATTTCTCACCTGAGGTTACTGTATATTGTTGCTCTTATAGGTATCTTTAAAATTGAAATAATACATAAAAAATCCTAAATTAATAAAAAGTTCAAAGAAGACAAGGCACAAAAAATTTACCTTTTCCCTTGGAGGATGTCTTTTCTCACTGGAGCAAATGAATGTGCAGGACCAGAAAAGACCATTACGGTCTGTTTTGCCAGTATCATTTCAAATATCATCTCCCTAATCCATCCAATATCCACCTATTCCCATTAAAAAAAAATTCCAATTCCTTCTTGAAATTGCCTGCATGATTTGCTTCCCTGTTTGTGTACCGGGGAACTTGCCATCAACTTCCAATGCTTTTGCCAGTCATGGACTAACATTTCTCTTCCTTTTGCCAAATACAGCTCTTGTAATTTCATTCACAGTGTGCCAATTGGCTTGCCCCCTGTAGTGCATCTGCAACTGTGCTGAAAACAAGAAATTTTGAGGACAGAATAGTTTCTGCAAAAGCACCTGACCCATGATAGAAAAGCTGGGGAAAACAAATGCACTTCTGAAAATAAGGCCCAAAATTCTACATTTAACCTGAAGAATCTTAACCTGGTTTCATTATGAAAAGATTACAAATGCTATCATATTTAATGTGTGAGGTGAGTTACAATGAGAAAGCTATCAACTAATGTTTGGACCTTAGAACACCCTTTTATTCTTTCTCAAAATAAAGTCAATACATTATTTACAACTGCTACACATGTTCTTATCAATATTCCTTAAATATCATGTCCGTTTTCGCAAATTAAATTCCCCATTATTTAACATCGTCGTCAGCCTGAAACTAACTGGCTTTTTGATTAATCATTTTAATCATATTTTATTTATTGCATTAGAATTGCATTTACTCTTTTTTACGTTGTGTGTGTGCAATATGCAGATTTACCATTGCGTTCACGTGACTTTGTAGTGTTGCATCAAAGGATGTAAACTGTAAAAAAGAGCAAAAACAAAACACCCCAAAAATGTGTTTGAAGTCTGCAATTGGAGGATTGTTTGCAAAGTGCCATGACAATCAGACTAAAATTCTTGTAACCCAAGGCTTGGATTATTTAGGAACTGCAAACTGATGTGATAGGACAGGTGTATATATTTTTAAACAGAGAGAGAGGAGGTGATAGAGCATGGATAGAGAGTAGGGAGCAAGAGTGCTGAAAATTGCACTGGTACTTTTTCAATCTGCTTGTTGATATATTTATAGACTGAAACACAACAATCTTTAATATTGAGGAACAACCAAATTTAAGGTTCGAAGTCCACTACAAAGATTGCTTTTAATATCATCAAAAGTAGAGGCAATGAGACCAGGTGTTCAACATTTTTGATTTGGAAGTCCATTTAAGCTGCTGAAGTGTAGTCACTACAACATGTGTGTACTAATTCGTATCCAGTGCAATCCTTGTTGAGTATAGCGGACAAGATGCGTCATACTGCTATGTAGTGTTACAGGTCCCATCATTATGTCAAGGTCATGAAAGAATTCTGCAAATAGAAGAAACTGATGTTAATTTGTAATATTACGTAGCATGAATATCAATATCAGAGCGCTACCATATCTGTGACTTTATAGTAAAAAAAATACAGCATAGCACTTGTCCATCTAGCTCACAGGGAGTTCCTGGTACCTGCCATTCACTCAGTGAGGGCTCGAACTTTCACTTGTCGGATATCAAATGAGCAACTAGCGACTATCTTCTGGGGCGGAGAGGAGGGAAGCAGGATCTCCTTTGAGCTCAACTGACTCCAAAATGACATGTTTGGGAACAGAATGTGAGAATCACATCTGTGATGATCTCAGTAGTCCAGTTCCTGAGCCAGGTGGGTCCGCAGTATTCCAGGGCACTGCTGATGGCAGCCCAGCCAGCCTGGCTCATCGGTATGATTTGGAAAGGCAATCCAATCACTGATAGGCAGGGAGTCATCCTACTCAGCTCCTCTTAACCCTGCAAGCCAAAGCCCTAAAGGGTTAGGGTGGTTCTAGCTGGTCAAGCAGTGGGAAAGCTTACAAGACGTTACTTTCGATGAAAGATTTGGCAGACTTGTGTGAATTATTGGTAAGTCCTGCATACAATTATGCTGCCTGCAAAATAGATTAGCCCATTGTGCTCATATTAGTGGGGTGCTCCTATGATCAAGCATGGGCTTTGGGTCACCATCAGTTTCAAATGTAAAAACAGACTGTGAAAAAATTACCTCAACAGTGGGTTGTGAGTTGTGAAAACCTTATGTCTTGTGCCTTGGGATATTCTCACATCCTACATAAGTGTAAATCTGGTGCAATATAAATGTAAATCTGTATTGTATTGTCCACAAAGTGAGGTTTACTTGTATTTAAATTTAAACATATAATCTGCCTAATGCTTTATAACTGCAGCGATTATGATAAAGCGACATAACGGCAACTCAAGGAAGCCAAAACAAGTTGGACAAATCCACCTTTCTAATTTTTGTCCATTATTCACACGGTCATATTCTCAATGTCAGTCCATTCATTTAAAGAGTGGACCAATTATAAATTACCATTGGGGATGAAAAGGCGTTTTTCAGGAAAATTGTAGTGTTATTCATGTCTTTCTGCTGAATAAATCTCCAGCAGTGAACAGATGCATGTCATCTTGACTCGTAAGACTTTGGGTCCAGTCAATTTTGAGCTGAGATCTCATGAAATAGAGTAAAGTAAGTGAGGTTCCCTGCTGGAGAAGAGTTTACGCCGGGAGATGCTTTTTCCAGCGGCATGATACCACAAACACTACTGCTTTCCGAAGAAGTGCTTTTTCAACCTTACAATTAGATTTTTCCAGTTTCAATCAACACTTCAGACAGGCTGGCAGAAAAGCATCAACGACATGGCTGAAAGTACTCTCTGCTATCTGTGACTGACCAGTACCTTTGTTCTCCTTGGCCAGCTTATCAGCCATCTCCCAATAGTCGTAACTGTAGAGAATGCTATTGGTGATGTTTACATGGTTAGCAGCCAACTGATGGATACGGTGCGGAATGTTAATGGTTGAGGAAGGAGATGATGCAGTGGTACTGGAACTGCTCCCATGGGATCCGACTGAACTAACTGGGGAAGGTGAAGGTGACATCGGTGAAGATGTTCCAATGTTCCTACAAAGGTAAATAGGAGATCAAGTTGAGAAAAANTACACAAAGAACGCTGCCAGATTTTCTGAGGAATACATAGTTTGTTTTTGATAAAATAAAATTCATCTCCTCACAGGCCCCACGACGCCTTCAGACATCAGAGTGGAATAATCCTCTCAACCACCTCCCCCCAAAGGTATTCACATTAATACAATGAGGTCAGACCACTACTGCAAATAATACAGTATGTATAACTGATCTTGTTGTAGACATTAAAATAAAATAAGGCTAAGTTTGCAGATGATCCCAGTGACTTGGGACATCCTCCTGACGTGAAAGGTGCTACACAAATGTCATTTTCGGTTGATCTACAGGAAAGCATATTATAATAATCATAATAATAATCGTAGCATGTTATATAGCACTCATCATGGCACCATGATATCTCAAAGCGCTTCAAAACTTTTCACTGTGAAATGTTGCGACTGTGTATTTGTAGGTGAATAGGGCAACCAATTTGCCCATAGCAACATTCCACATCCAGGAAGTGAACAATCAATATTAACTGTTTGGCAACATGTCTGTGGTGGGAATATCAGATTGTCTGGGGGAAAAAGATCAAATTCAGAAATGTTTATAGACAAAGCAACTAGGTAGACTAAATGAATCATGAATGAAGTATCTCTCTCAGTGACTTCCCCACCAGTTGTAGCATGCACATTACTTACTCAGGCTGACTGATATCCCACATGTGTATATGATTTTAATTGGGATTGAGAAAGTAAATTTAGAATATTACCTTTTGATGTGCTGAGACAGCAGAACAAGAGGACACAGATTTAAGATGGCAAAGGGCAGTTGCAAGACAGACACCAGGTTTCTTAATCCAAAGGGTAATTAATAACTGGAATGTGTGGGTACCCAGGAAGGGTGTTCAGGTCAGGATGCTGAGTTCACTTATAAAACAGCTTGAGGTTGTAATATGATTGTAGACTGGTTTATAGGATATCATTAAATAGGCCAAAGGGCCTTCTTCATCCAAGCTTCTCTTGTGATCTCTTTGCTTGTGATGTATTTAGTCTTCTCAACATGATTGCATTGGGAGTGTCAGCCTGCACCATATTTGGGAGATTCATTTTCCCTCTATTCAAAGTGTGAACTTGACAATATGCGGGTTCAGAAAGACTCTACTTTATTGGTAGCAAACCCACTATGGATGGGTCATGTCTAGAGAATGAGGAGCGAGATGATGAAGCTACCCATGATTTTAGTTGCTTCCAAATTCTCTTTTCTGAAGGGGTGGTGAAGGACAACAGTAAGAACCCGCAGCCACAGCATTTATTGTTAGATATAGCATATGCTGACAATGCAAGTCAAGCTAGGAGGGAAAGCATCAAATTGACAGTACAATAGAGAGCAGTGTTATTTTTACTTCCATGAAATTTTGAAATCTGTCCCTTTTAGGTTAAGCGAAAGAAAAATCATACTTACTTCCCACTGGCACCCCATGGGGATGACGCCTGACCAGTTTTAGAAGATCCCTGTAAAATAAAAATAAATCTATTTTAGACAACAAACACAACATTTTCTAGAGAGTTACTTTCACTCACAAGAACGTTTTTATTTCTCATGTAAAAATAAATTGCTTTGAAGGAAGTGATGTAGCAGGTGCATCCTGCACATAGCATGCCGGGCAGTATGCATCAGTGACATCAGTGGTGGCCTGATGATCTGGAAGTTGGACATTTTTTCTTGCTTTGTTTGCTTTGCCCCGAAACTCTGGAATTCGCTCCCTCAATCCCTCAACCTTGCCCCCTCCCTCCCCACTTTCAAATCGTGCCTGAAAACCTTTCTTTTTGATGGTGGTTATGGTCCCCCTGGCTCGGGGTTGTACTTCGCCATTGTCAAGCGCTCCGGGACGCTACCCCGCGTGAAGGGCGCTATATAAATGCAAGCTTTTGTTGTTATTGTAGTCGTAGATATTGAGCACAAATTACTGCATTATTGTGGGTTAACTTGTTTAGTACCCATTATAATTTTGCAACACATTGGTGTTGAATCACTTTAACATTTATTGTTTTTAGTTAATAGTTTACTTCTGATTTTCATGTACTTTCTGTTTCTAAACAGTACTAAGTTCCATTTTTTTTCATCACTTGTCATCATTCATTTGCTTTTTCTGGCAGTGTCATTGAAGTCAGCATTTTCAGATATGACAAGGCAGCAGAACAAGAGAGCACAAGTTCAAGGTTGCAAAAAGCAACTTCAAGTCAGACACCAGGAAGTATTTCTTTACCTAGATGGTAATTAACAATTAACAACTGGACTGAAATGACCAGAAAGGAACATTAATAATAATAATTCTTGTATTTGATATAACGCCTCATCATGTTGTTGAGACATTTCAAAGAACTTCACAGGATATACTATAAAGTGGAATGACTGTGTATTTTGTGGACAAAATGCAGCAGCCCATTTGGGCACAGCAATATCCCTCAAACAGTCGTGGATTGAGTGACCAAATTATTCTTTTTTTTTGGAAGGATTATTACCCTCAGAAAAGTGATCCTCCAATCAACTAACAAGCGGGTTCCTACTTACTCCTACGTGTGGAGTAAGAAAACTTGCCTAAGGTTTCACTCTGCCCGGAAGTCGAACCTGGGTCCTCTCGTTTCCTAGGTGAGTGCTCTAACCAGTATGTTACAAGACTCCAAATTGGGGCTTGGAATTGGACTCTTTTAAGATACAACTCCATGCAGCAATGGGCTATTGGTACGATGGCCATTCTGGAAGTATGAGATCAAATGGATTGAAAGGTCTTCTTCATCTGAAAGTTTCTTGTGCTCCGGTGAAGCACCAGAACTCAAGCTCATTTTTTTACTTCCTCTAGTCCGAGACACCAAAGCTAATTTTAGCACATAATGCCTAAGACCAGCTGGATAAGAATAAACTAGAGATTGAACCAGGAACCTTCTGGCTTTGTGTGGTTAGCTTTCATACTGGATGATTACTTTATCAACTGGATCATTGGAGGAAACTGTTTTGCATTTGAATACGGAGAAATATTATGAAAATACTCTGCTTTCGGTGATGAATGAAGATTTTCAGGTAAATTGTGGCGAAGGGATTCTAATTTAATAAATTATACTTAAAGTATTGCATTTGGGTACACTGTGAAAATCTATCTCTTAGGATAAAATTAGAGTTTATGAATCTTATGCAGTCTCCTCACAAAAACTCAGACACAAACCTGCAAAATTGCTTCCCTATGTTCAACTAAGAATCATAAGATTTCCCACAGCTAAGAAATCAATCGGAAATGGGCAAATATGCCAAAGTTTATTCCTGTTTATATTTGAAGAACCCTATTGATTACCAATCTTTTTATTCACATTACACAAAATACTGTAGATGCTGGAAATCTGAAACAAAATCAGACGTTGCTGGGAACACTTAGAGGGTCAGGCAGCATCTATGGAGAAAGGAAAGTGAATCAATGTTTCGGGTCCATGACCCTTCATCAGAACTGGGGCATGTTGGGAAGGAGAGGTTTTTTTCAGGACTAAAAGAGAGTGGGGAGGTAGGGCAAGGAAGAGAAAGGAGAAAATGGGGTAGAGGACAGGGGATGATGAGTTAAAGAAGTGGTAATGATGCAAAAGGAGGGATTTGCAACAAAACGGGAAAAGAGGTATTAATAATGCAACCTTCTCCCCCTCTTCTGTGACTATTACCACATCATTTGGGTCCCAGACACACCTTTTCTCTCCCTGGTCTCCCCGTTTTGCATTATTAACACCTCTTTTCCCCTGCTACTCATGTTAGACAGTTGTCGTTTGATTACGTCCATGGCACCATACCTTCATTGAGCTTCATTTTTCCTTCACTTGCACAGTGATTTCACTTGATGTGCCACGCAGCACTTTCACAGATGGAAACAAGTAAAAAGGAGCGAGATAACATCCATTCATTGTATATCCCAGAACTCTGTGATCCAGTGGTCACAAAATCTGTGATAAAATCTGCTACACAAATTTCCTATCATTCTCACGTCAAAGATTTTAAAGAAATACCTTTTTCTGTTTAAAACTGCAGCAATGCCGGGTGTGTGCCTGAGCTTTCAATTTCGGTGGTGGGTGACTGCAGTACTGCTGCCCATACAGTTCCTTCTGGTGTGCATGTGCAATGCTGTTGTTTAGTACTTCTTTTCTGTTGCACTGGGATGAAAGAGCATAGAGATAGGAGTAGTAATAATAATAATGTTAACGTGAACAGAAGTGCTTTCTTAATTGCCAGAGAGGGGAAAAATATGTGTAACAATTAAAATTTCAAATTGCCACTGCACAAAGGCAGCATTTTATGTGTCAGCTGGCAATCATATCACATTAATAACAATTAGAAGTATTAATAATAATAATCCTTGCATTTGATTTAGCGCCTTATCGTGTCTTCGAGATGTCTCAAAGCCCTGCATAGTAAAGTGACTTGACTATACTTTGTGGGCGAAATGTTCTTATTGTTTGTATTCTGAATCTTTTGCTGAATAACTCTTCCACTGGTTCCAGAAAACAAATTATTTAGAATGATAACAATTAAACCATTTTCATTTAAGTAAGGAATACATTCCTGCATGACTTTTTTTTAATGCAGAATTTGAGGGCCCTGTAACTATTTTAAACAAAATAATGGCTGCTCAGGAATGAATTTCAGCTGCCTAGGCATTGCTCAGTGGATTTAAATTTGTGTTTACACGTTGGCATGTGACCAATTCAGGACCACACACATATTTGTGATTCATCCCTCACCATCCTTTGTTTTTTTTAAAAAATCCCATATATCAAACATTCCAGGAACATGATTATAATCCTTTATTTGGAGAAATGTCAAGTCAGAATTGAAGTTATGTTCTGAAAGCAAATAAACACGTAAATTGAAGAAATAACATGCTGAATTATATTTGATGATGCCAAAAGCTCTTTCTACAGAGTCTCAACCTGTGTTTTTAAAGTAATAAAACACAATAGAAAAGTGATTAAATATTTACCTTGAAATAGTCAATAAGTGCTTTGGAATATTTAACAGCATTGTCCCTTTTAAGTCTGAACATCCTCCAATAAAGGAGAGCCAAACAGCGGTAACTAGATAAATCAAAAGAGAACATGTTAAAGAACCTGCGCAGATTTCCATATAATATATACTAATAATGCTACATTTAACGAGTTAATAACAACTAGAAAATAAATCTATTCACTTCTATGTGTTTAAGAATACTTGTGTTTAATCCAAAACTGTTTAAACTTTTGGATTGACAAGTTTTTTTTGAAGGTATTGTACTAAAAAATTACCAAAATCAATTTAAAAATAAAATAGAAAGACACAAATGATTTAAGTGATTAACTAAAATAATTGATATTTTGCCTTATCATGTCAAAATGCTTCACAGCATTTTTCCTTAAAATGTAGGGAAAATAAAATAAAGGAAAATATTTATGTCACGGGATTTATACTATTCCCAGCCGCCAATAATTTAGAAATTCTGCACACTCACCACAAAGCAGCTAGCTGTTTGTCTGATAGAGTTGCCGTTGGACCTGAATGAGCCTTTAGTCTCATAGCGTACCTTTAAACAAAACCCAAATCAAAACAGTAGATTAATAAAATAGTAAAGTAATGCAATTTACATTCCATCAGGGTAAACTCATGGGAGCTGCTGTATTTAAGTGCAAATGTAGTCTCCGAGTGAGATTACAGTCACTTTACATGAAGTAATCATACTGGAGGCCAACAAACATCATACTGGAAGCCAACAATAACACTAAAATCCTATTCTCCACTGCCCACCACCTCCTCTGTGCGCCCCCTCAAGCACTCTCAATCTTCACATTTACAACAACAACAACAACAACGACAAGATTCCATTTATTGGGCGCCTTTCACGTCGGGAGGACGTCCCAAGGCGCTGTACAGTTGGGTCAGGACCCGAGCAGGGGGGAAATGGTGAGGGGAGGGAAGGAAGGGAGCGAGGAGGGGGTAGAGAGTCGAGAGGGGAGCTGAAGGCACTTCAAGCCTTCCTTTTCTTAAAAAAATTCTTCCTCCATCAAATATCCAAGCAAACTTTGTCCAGCAGTGCCCGTTGGATAAGTATTAGGGAATTCTTATGGGCTACTTTTCTACCTAGTCCAGAGACACCTGACAATCCAGTACACTGAGGATGTGATCATATAAATGAACAAAATCCAGAAATGATCCAACATCCTATTACATGTAAAGTTTTGAAAAATATTCCTTGCATTTGATATAACACTTCTGTGGAAGAGAAAGGTCTTGAGACCGGCCTTGAAGGAGGAAAGGGAGGAGGCAGCGAAGGCACTGGGGGATAGAGTTCCAGAGTCTAGGGGCTGAGAGGCGGAAGGCCCGGCCACTGATGGTAGGGCGGTTGGGGCGGGGGATGTGGAGCAGACCGGAGTCAGAGGAACGGAGGGTACAGGTAGGTAGGGGGATAGTAGGTCGGAGAGGTAAGAGGGAGCAAGGCCGTGAATGGCCTTGTAGGTGAGGATGAGGATCTTGAATTCGATCCTCTGGGGGATGGGGAGCCAGTGGAGGCGAGCGAGGGTGGGAGTGATGTGGTCCCGAAGCCTGGTGCGGGACAGTACATGAGCTGCAGAGTTCTGAATGACCTGCAGCTTGTGGAGGGAGGTGCCGGGAAGGCCGGCGAGGAGAGAGTTTTCATAGTCCAGCCTTGATGTGATAAAGACGTGGACCAGAGTTTCAGCAGCGTGAGGGGTGAGGTAGTGCCATAGTCTGGCGATGTTCCGGAGGTGATGGAAGGCGGTGCCAGTTGTGGTGCGGATATGAGGGAGAAAGGACAGCTCAGGGTCGAACAGAACCCGAGGTTCCTGACTGGCTTTGAGAGGTGGAGAGTGCAGCCTTGGATGCTGATGCTGTCAGCGCCTGAGGTGCGGAGGCGCTGACGTGAGCCAATCAGGAGGGCCTCAGTTTTGCGCATGTTGAGCTGAAGAAAGTTGTCTCTCGTCCAGGACTCGATGTCGGACAGGCAGGCTGTCAGGACATCGGTGGTCGTGGAGTTGAGGGTAGAGGAGGAAAGGTAGAGTTGGGTGTCATCCGCATACATGTGGAAGTTAACCCCATGTCTGCGGATGATGTCACCAAGGAGGAGCATATAGAGGGTGAAGAGGAGGGGACCGAGGACAGAGCCCTGAGGGACACCGCACGAGACAGTGCGGGGGCTGGAGGAAAAAACATTCGTGGAGACAAAGTGAAGACGGTGGGAGAGGTACGACCTAAACCACTCAAGGACAGGGCTTTGAAGGTTTAGGTGGGAGGACAAGTGGTGGAGGAGGTGGTCGACCATATCGAATGCTGCCGATAGGTCGAGGAGGACGAGGAGGCAGAGGGAGCCCTGGTCACAGATGGTCAGGATGTCATTGGTGACCTTGACCAGGGCAGTTTCTGTGCTATGGGCAGCACGGAAACCCGACTGAAGGGGTTCGAGTAATGAATGGTTGGAGAGGAAAGAGCGCAGCTGGGAGGCGACAACTCGTTCCAGGACCTTGGACAGGAAGGGGAGGTTGGAGATGGGCCGGTAGCTTGATAGCTGCGACGCATCAAGGGAGGGTTTTTTTAAGGTGGGAGTGATGGTGGCAGTTTTTAAGGGAATGGGAACAGAGCCAGAGGAGAGGGACAGGTTGACGATGTCTGTGATATGTGGGGCAAGGAGGTGGAGCTGGGAGATAAGGAGTGGAGTGGGGATGGGGTCAAGGGAGCAGGTGGTGGTTTCAGGGATAGGATGAGTTTGGTGACAGGGTGGGGAAACGGGTACGAAAGTGTGTAGGGGAGGATGGGTAGGAGTCGGAGTGTGGGAGGGAAGGGGTGGGGGTGGGTGGATGTTGGAGGGGAAGTGACCGCGGAGCGAATTCCCTTGATTTGGATTCAAGGAAATCCAGCATCTCCTCGCAGTGAAGGTTGGAGGAGATGACCTGCGCGGGGTGGCGGGGGGACGGAGGAGTTGGGATGTGGTGAGAACAGTAGCCTGGGGTTGTCCTTCGCCTCCAGGATTATCCTGGAGTAGAAGGACGATTTGGCCGAGGCTAGAGTGGAGCGGTAGATTTTGAGGAGGTCCAGCCAGATTTGTCGGTGGACCGTTAGGCCAGATTTGACCCAGGTGCGTTCAGCGGCCCGCACCTGGCTCTTCAGTGAGCGGAGGTGGGTGGTGAACCAGGGAGAGGAGCGAGAGTAGGAGACAGTACGGGAGGTGATGGAGGCAAGAGTGTCAAGTGTTTAGGAGAGGGTGTTGTGGAGGAGGGTGAGAGCAGAAGAGGGGTCAGTGAGGGTTGAAGGCCAGAGGGAGAGGAGTTCAGAGGACTCCAAGGCAGCGGTTAGGGATTGAGGGGGTAACTTCTTCCAGGGGCGGTAGAAGATGGTGGTGGGTCTGGTGGAGGTGGGGAGGGGGGTGGAGGTGGTGAAGGAGATGAAGTGGTGGTCGTAGACGGCCTTGTCGGTGATAGTGACATCCGAGACACTGAGGCCCCGGGTGATCACCAAGTCGAGTGGGTGGCCGTGACTGTGAGTGGGGGAGTTGATGTGGAGGGAGAGGTTGAGCGAGGAAAGCAGGGAAGAGAAATCTGAGGAGATTGAGCAGGAGGGGGTGAAGTGCAGGTTAAAGTCGCCCAGGATGATGAGGCGATCAGAGCAGAGGCAGAGAGATGTGAGAAGTGTCGAGATATCAGAGATAAAGGTGAGAGAGATTTTAGGGGGCCGGTAGAGGAGGAGGATTTTAAGTGAGAGGAAGGAGGGGTGGGAGAGGGTGAGGTGCTCAAAAGAGGGGAAAGAGTCAGAGGAGTAGGGGATAGGGCAAGTGGTGTCCTTGAGATAAGGGCAACACCACCACCACGGCGGTTGGGGCGAGGGATGTGGTGGGAGGTGTAGCCGGGTGGTGTGGCCTCCGTGAGGGGGAAGGTGTCGCCTGGGGTGAGCCAGGTTTCCATTAAGGCCATGATATCAACGTTCTCATCAAGGATCTAATGCCAAGTGCGAAGAGGTCATGGACATTCTTACCTCTAAAATTGACAACATCCACTTGGCAGCTTTATCCCTCTGCCCCATGTCGCCTACCACCATCCCCATTCTGTCTCCCTCACCCACCGCGCCCTCAGCTCCTACCATGGCCCCCATCCTACATACATTTGCCCCCATCTCTCCTTCCTCCCTCTCAACCATCATCACCACAATAGAACCCACCACCTGCTGCCTCGACCCCCTCCCCATTCAACTGCTGATCACTCAGCTCCCCCTCCTCTGCACACTGCTGGCAAACATTATTAACCAGTCTCTCTCCTCAGGATCAGTTCCACTCGTCCTCAAAACCGTGGTCATCATCCTCCTCCTTAAAAAACCTACCCTTGATCCCTCCAACCTCAGCCACTACCACCCTATCTCAAACCTGCCCTTCCTTGCCAAAGCTCTGGAACGAGTTGTTGCCAACCAACTTTGTGCACACCTCTCCTTCCACACCCTACTCGAACCCCGCCAGTCTGATTCTGCCCTGCCCACGGTACAGAGACAGCACTCGTGAAGGTCACAAACGATATCCTCTCTATCTGTGACCAGGGCTCTCTCTGCCTTCTCGTCCCTTCCACCGCATTTGACATAGTCGATCATGCCATCCTCCTCCACTGCCTCTCCTCCATCATCCACCTCAGTGGGATCGCACTCGCTTGGTTCGAGTCCTACCTTACAAACCGCCAGCACTACATTTCTGCAAATGGCTTTTCTTCATGCTTCCACCCGGTCACCTGCAGGGTACCCCAAGGCTCCATCCTTGGTCCCCTCCTCTTCCTCATCTATATGCTTCCTCTCGTTGATATCATCCGCAGACACGGGGTTAACTTCCACATGTATGTGGATGATACTCAACTCTACTTTTCCACCTCCAGCTGCAACCCCCAGTCCCCTGATGTTCTATCAGATTGTCTGTTGGACATCAGGAGCTGGATGAGTGCAAATTTCCTGCAATTAAATGTCAACAAGACGGATGCCATACTCTTTGGCTCCCGTCTTCTGTCCCACGGTTCTGACCTCCTCAACCTACCCGACCTGTCCTTAAAACCCTCTGAACCCGTGTGCAACTTAGGCATAAGGTTCGATTCCCTTGATATCCTTCCTCCTCCACATCGGGTCCCCGACCAGCACCGGTTTCTTCCATTTCCGCCACATTGCCCATCTCCGACAATACCTCACCCAAAAGCTGCCGAAACCCTTGTCCATGCCTTTGTCACCCCTCAGCTGGACTACTCTAACTCCCTCCTCGCCGGCCTCCCCTCCTCCACTATTCACAAAATTCAGCTCATTCAAAACTCCGCCGCCCGCATTGTCACCCGCACCAAACTTCGTACCCCGATTACTCCAGTCCTTGCCAAACTCCACTAGCTCCCTGTCACAGAGCAGATGACTTCAAGATCCTCACTCTAGTGTTTAAATGCTTTCATTCCTTGGCACCCCCCTATCTCTCAAGTCCTCTCTCCCCACAGCAATACCCGCTGCCTCCGATCTACTGGGTCCGGCCTCCTCCGCGTCCCTCGAATTCTCCGCTTCACCATTGGC